CTCTAGAATTTTTATATTACTTTCAATTAAGTAGGTTACGTTTGTTTAAATACATTTTTAACAAACGTAACCATTGTTGTAATGTTCATTTAACCAATACTTTACAAATTCGATATAGTAGATTTATTTTTTATTGTTTAATTACCTTAGTTTTGTTACTTAGGATATTTCTTTCCTTGCTTATCGGTTATGGAATTCTTCAATATCTATGTAAAGTTATAGTTTATATCAGGATAATAAAAAAAATGTTGGAAGTATTTATTTATTATTCCATTTAAGGCAGAGGTAGAGCCTTTAACTAAATAAGAACTGAAATATTTTTTTATTTATGCTACAATACTAGTTTTTGCTTTCGTTCATAAAATGTAAAGAAATGGTTATAACAGTAATAAATTCAGCTACGTTCAGGATACTGTACAAATTGGGTCGAAATATAAGAATATTTTTTAACCTTCTAACAAACTTCGTTCGCTTAAATAATTGATTTAACTGTTCAATTACAGATTACAGTTTCTGTGACAATAGTTGAACTATGCATTTGAGCTACATTCGATATAGTACAGTACCTACAGCATGCAATTGTAATCATTAATCACAGATGCAATAGTCGACGCTGTTACTCTGCCAGTCTGCATAATATCTGTATTATATACCATAATACTTGAACATGCACATATTAATACTCTTAAATTTAATTGTATTATTATACTAACTAGAACGTCGAAATCATACTTATATACAAGTTTTTATTAAATTCATGATTGTATGAAATAGATATGAAAAAAAGAATATCCTTACTATTACATCATCTGCGTTTGCCTTAGTTACCTCTCATAGTAGATTAATTTACTTGGATAATTGGTCGAAATTATATGTTTAAAATTAAACGCATCTTTTTTTATGTATAAGAACCATGTGTAATTACGCCATGTACCTACCAAGACACAACTTATAAATAAAATTAAACTAACTACTGATGATTCTAGAAATAAAACAAAATTAAAATCTCAGTCTATTTACCTCCAAAATGCTACTCTAACATCAGTCATTACAATATTAGTATAATATAAGTTTGCTATTACAAGCACACTAACAAAACACCTAAAAAAGTTAATGAGATTAGTTATTCTGAATTAGTTTTGCTAATTGTCTTTTTAATACTTATGAGTATAAGTATATTTGTTCGCATTTTTATTATGTTTTCGAATCCTGACTGCGTCCTTCTGCTGTACATAAAACTGCAAATAACGACATAACTGGACTTAATACCTAAACCTAAACCTGAATAGCAATAATAAATATTGATAACCTATTTACCTACCTATCAATATTTTCAGTATTTTAATTTTCTTGTATATTTAAATATAATTTTATTGTAAATATTAATTATAGCCTCTTTAACTATTATGCGCGAATTTATCTGTTTTTATGAGATCAAAGTTCTATATCTAATATCATTAAAGTACGTTCAGCTGTTTTATCGTGAAAAGGTAATGAACAGACAGATATAGTTTCGAATTCATAATATTAAGTAATATGGATTTTATTTTAATTACGAAAACTGTTACCATTGAGAAAATATTTTTTTGTGTGGTAAGTTGTTGTTGCAATCATATTTATTATTCTTAACAAAACTATTATTTGCATCTGTAATAACTACTAATAAGTCTAATAAATATTTATTATTCCGATTATAATAATAGATAATGTAATGTTTTACACATTACAAAGGCGTAAAACATTACATTAAAACAATAAAACTTCATTTTTCGATAAGTGAGTCCATGTAGGTATGAAATTGTTAATTGCGTCAGAGATATTTCTGATTGCAAACACTTTATCAATACTGTCACTTTGAAGGTTGTCCTGAACTTACCTAACATCGTTCCTCCGTACCGCGTTAGATAAACTTGTAGTTACAATCATTATGTACCTTTCATCCAATTCGGTTATAATTTTAGCTCTCTATTCACAAATGACACAAAATGTATATACACATATAATTGTAATCAAATGTATAAAAAGATTATGAGTGTTGCCAAAGAAGTTTTTTTTATATTGTATTATTTTGACGATCTGTTTTAGCGATTTTTTTTATTGTATAATGGTTTTGTACTATGTTCTACTCCTTTGAGCTCAATACATACATACATTTACCATACCAAGGAACCTGTCTCACTTTTAACCAGTAAATACAGTTCGCCGACACGACTATTTATAAGTTTTTATAACAACGACAAAATTTTATTATAAATATTTATTATTCATTTCTTTATGAATAATCCTGTAGTGTAGATTTTGTAAGTTCTATATTTACACTCACCACCGGCGCACACTCAGATTGTGTCGGACTGAACTACCTGACGAGGATTTTTCTAGACACTATAGCTAAGGATTTTCAAGAAGTGTATAGCTTTTACTGGTCGTCTGTGATTACATCATACCCCAAATGTTTCTGGGGTCCACAAAACGGTAACCTTTAGATGACCGAAATGCATAATTGCCACTAAAAAAAAGTAATTTGAAATATATATCCCTGATTATTAGGGCATTAATAAAAGTGTGCAGATAATTTTATATATCTGTAGTACAATACAATGAGTTAAGTTTGCGACGAGGCACTTAATTCACAATTTCACACTTATATCTGTTCAGTTATAATCTCTTGATGTTAGTGAGCTGGGTGCTTACTCTCACAAACTTGTTAAGTAGCGGTTGACCTGTTTTCTTGAGTTTGAAATAAAGATATGATTGCTAACTATTACGTAGAAGCGTATAGTATATGGTGAACTCGGTGGTTTCGGTGGTAAACTTCCAAAGTGGCGGGTTCGAATCCTCGCATGATGCAAACATTATTTATTTGTATGATTCTTCGTATCGGGCTGGATGTTTCTATGTATTGTTTTTATATATACATACGTAATTAATGTACGTATTTACAAAAATAAAAGAAGTATTCATATCAGTTGTCTAGTATTTATAACATAAGCTCTGCTTACCTTGGGCATAGCCATTTGGTTCTGTATAAGATATTTGTACTGTAACATTACTTTGTAGCACAGATAACATACATAGATACATACTTGGTAGTATGGTTATCACTGTAAAATTATATAATTCTACCTAAATTAGATTGTCACTAATTAATCGCAATTTTCCAGAGCCGTATAAGCTTTCAATTTTGTATGCAGATCCATTTAGTGACGTAAGAACTCAGGTAGGGTATATGAGAAAGGTTTATATGAAAGGGAATGGAAATCGAATCGGTTACGATATAGATAGTTAAACGCACGCCACGTTATACTCGTTTTTTTATGTGCGAACCGTAAGGTATAACATCCTTTACCTTGATAATACACTATTACTATTATCTATCAATATTACCGTACACCCACATGAGTGTCAAGGGTCACATCACATCACTATTGACGATATTCACCTACTCATCCCCAGGATGACATTTCAGTCGTATAAAATAAACTCTACATTATAATAATCTCTTAGAAAAACTTTAATATTGAACTAATTGCGCAACGGATATTTCCAGGATTAAAGGAAAATGTCGCTTTAACATAAGTATAAGTTATATGTAAAGTAACCATTAAATATTCTTTGACATGAGATTTTGGTTAATATGTTGTATTTTGTGACTGTGTCTCTACATATATAAATTAATAAGCGTACGTTCTATTTATTCATGAAGTTAAATAAATAAATAAACAATTACTTCATTAAAAAACCTGACCTCTCTTAAGAAATTGTTCATATTCAAGTCACGTTATATTTTGATTGTATTTTGTATGTATATACTCAACATCGATAGTATTAAACTTGTTTTCTTAGCGTAATAGGTACCTATAATATTATCGTTTGTAAACATGTTGTGTATTATTAATAACAATTTTAATATGAGAAAAATATCCCATAATAACTTGAATGTTACAATCTAGGAGTACTTGGGTATCAAACAATTTACCTATAACACCATTTGTTACTAATTTTCATTTGAACATTTTTCATAATACTTAAAAATGTTCCTCATTAATAAAATCCAGGTCCATATGCAAAATCGAGTGAGACTACATACGTATATATCCTAGACCTAGTGGCACAGATTTCTGTTACGTAGCTATTTGCATGAAGAGAATTCGTAGATATATATTAAACATATAATAGAATTTATCTTTATCTTTGTTTGGTATATTCTTTATTACGTATCGTAACATAGAAGAACCCTACAGTACTGGACAATGGAGAGGCTGTGATGTGTATATAATATACTATACCCATCCTACTGACTACTTATAATGTAATAGAGCCAGATGTTTCATAGATATGATAACTGTAATAATGCGAACCATTGTTATGATTCCTCTCTGATAATAGAGGAATCGTCCTAAATATTTAATTTAATTTGTGCGTAATTGCAGTAGCGGGGTCAGGCAAGTCTTGCATAAGTAGAGATGCATCTGCTTGACATTTGAATCGACCCCGAATCCGAATAGAAACTGTGTCACGAATTAGCGAGCGAGTACGGCAGCAGCTTCGTACAGCATCGCGATGTAGAGTTGCGTTGTGCAATCCCGTTAGCGCTCCACGTGCGACCGGCTATCGCCGCACCTCAATGTCGCTCGTGGGCGTCCGCCACCGGCACCGGCACCGCTGCATGCAATCATCACCGCCGCACCGCACCGCCCCGCGCACCGCGCCTCTGCCACGGCTTCCATCATACCCGCTATGCTATGCTGCCGGCCTGCTGCTACTCACTACACCGCCCGCTCAAAATAGCGAACTCCACCGAACTCTTGAAGGAAACCCGAAGGTGACCGAACACACCCTCTCGCTCGCACCCGCGCCATCGCAAATTACCATTTCACTCGCGCAAACAGCTGAGTATATCAAAACAAAGAAGTGAGACGGGCGGTCGCCGCTCCCGCTCGCCGGCCGGCCGGTGTCGCCGGTTGCGCCGCACGCACGCCAGTTCTCTTCGGAATCGCAGTCATAAAGGTTGTACGTTGCGAGCTCGCGTGCGAAGTTTACAATCGCGAAAGGATTTTCCTTTGTCCCGATCCTCGAGGACCCTGCCCTCGTATTATGTTTCCGCGCAAGAGCCGCGAACAACCCCGGCCTACTGAGGAGCCGGACCGTGTGCAGCGCGCCCAATCGCGTCGAAATTTTCGTAGTTTTCCGAAATTTTGTGACGGTTATCCCGCGAAACGCGTACGCCGGGCGATTTGAAATTTTTTTGTGAACGTGTGAGTTGTGAATCGGACCACCGAACACGGTTGTATCCTATATTAGTGTCGTTAAAGGGTGTGAGAACTGAGAGCATTATGTCGACCGGCAAGAGGCTGGCGAAGCGGTCCATCATAGGAACTCGCGTCGCAGCGCTCGGCGAAGACGGACTGTACTACTCAGGCATGATCCAGGAGGTGAAGACGCCAACACCGTTCCCCGAGAACAACAACTGCATAAACCTGACACCGAATACTAGATACACAGTGCGGTTTGACGGTGCGAAGGGTGCCCGCGAGTACCGCGACGCGGAGCTGATCGGACCCGGCTTCCGTGGCATGACGGGGGTGAAGCTGCGGCCCAGCCAGCGCGTCTACCTCACGTACAACGGCCGCGAGGTGCGCGCCGACGTCCTGCACCACGACCATGACACGGACGAGCTGCGCGTGCAAGTGCACGCACCCACAGCCGAGGTTAGTTTACATATTACCATATATGTACATAGGATACTACTCTTAAAAAATAATTACTAATTCAATTAAGAATACTTATTTACCAGATATTACAATTGCAGGAAAATATAATTTTAATTGCAAATTCAGTGACTCAATTTCCCTAAATATAAAATGGAACAATTAAAATTGATAATTTTAACATGTCTATAAGTTCCGATATTCCAAATAAATATTTTCAAACGTCGGCCCTTATAAAAGACTTCAACGATTTCAAATGGTCAAATTCGACCCGGTAGACCGAAATAAAAAGTAAGTTACAAAGGTACAGGTAAGCAGTTAGTTCACATAAGCGTAGAATGGACATTGACAGCGGTGGCATATGTAACGTATAGCATGAACCCTGCACTAAACAAAGGTTTGTGGTGCACGAGCAAAGCGGCCGAGTGCGGGGGCGCGGGCGGTGCGCGTGCAGCGAGCTATTGACCCCGGCTCCACGTGCAGCGTGCACCGGCGCCCTCTCGCCGCATTAATCGAGACCATCATATCAAATATAAAACACCGATTCGCATCATCTCGACTATCGCATCCGTAGATAAAGAAGTAAATTATATAGAAATCAATTATATATATTATATACACAAAAGCATCATATACAAATTATTTAAAAAAACAGAATAAAAAGTATCCTACTTGGAAGTCGTTGGAATATAAAAAAAAATCTACTAGTGTTTACATACCCGTAATATGAAAAATACTTCCGCGTAAATAGTTGGGGATTTCGTTTTATTACGTCATCATTGTTCAACAAACACAATACAATGAAACTGATAAATAACATCATTATTCTTTGTTATGTAGGTGCCATTCAATCAGTATTTTTAATAATTACACTATTTGACTTGTATGTTATCTGACAATATAGAGTTACTGGTATTTTTAGATAAGATAACACTTATCGTTGTAATTACCGTTTGATAGGTATGTATATATTCTAAGCCAAACGATAAACAGAAAAATATTAAAATAAAAACAAATCGCTATACGATACATATCTTTGTAAACATATAGTGCCTAATCAAATCACAGTTTTAATTATATTATGACACTAAACATGTCATAATACATGGTAATGTGATGGGCGATACCATCAATGTGACGGTGTCTGATATACTTATAGTCTCTACTAGGGATGTGATATGCATGGGGAGGGACTATAAAAATCGTTTCAATAAAAATAGATATTTCCATAATTAATTATTTTATTGCACAACAACCCAATTTTTTACCCCATGACCTGTAGACCTCTTGTATGGATCAAAGTGCTGGCCCGTAAAGGCGACAGATGAATGACGACTGCATGCAACTCAAATGAGAATGTTGAGGTGGATGTGTGGTGTGACAAGAATGGATAAGATAAAGAATGAATACATTAGAGGAAGTATGACAGTGGCACCGGTGTCAGAGAGGTTGAAGAGTAATCGTCTATCATGGTATGGACATGTAATGCGTAGGAACGAGGATAATATTTTAAGAAAGGTGTTACATATGAATGTGGATGGTTATAAGGGCAGAGGAAGGCCGAAAAAGAGATGGATGGACTGTGTGAAAGATGATATGGTAAGAAAGGAAGTAAATAACGCGATGACTGCGAACGGGGATGAATGGAAGCGAAAAACATATTACGCCGACCCCAAATAAATGGGATAAGGAAGAAGCAGATGATGATGACCTGTAGACCTCTTCTCTTTCCCTATAGGTCACCATTTACCGCCGAAAAAAAAAATTCATTAACCATCTTCTCTTTGAGGTAATCAATCGATTTTAAATCGACTTGAAAAATAGATTTTTTTATTGACTAATATTTTTTTCCAGAATCATTATTACTCATCACATCCCTAGTCTCTATAAATATAAACTATTAAGTATTACTATTCTATTCACGTAACCATATGGAAATCAATTGTGCCTAATCACAATTCAAATAATTTTGCAATGTGCGTGTAAATGTAATAAAACTATTGTCGCTAAACTCATAGCTTCTGTAGAATAAATTACATACTCTCTGCATTAAATTAATATATTATAATTTGTCTTGTCAAGTACACTTTTAGAACAGAGTCAGTAGCATCTAATAGTTAATTGCCGTTTTTTATATAAAAAAAAAATCGCTACCCGTCAGAATGATTAATTGATCGGGATAGAAAGTAGCCCATGTCCAAGGTGTCAACTGATACATTCTGTGTGTATAACAAATTTAATGATGATTGGTAGAGTTACTAAGATACCTTTATAATATTATTAAGGAAGTAGACAGTAATATAAAATATGTTTTATGTAAACAAAATATTATTGGGAAATGAAAATCCGAATTTTTCTGTTATATATGGTCGTAGGTAAGCTATAGGCTACGCCCCTGTTCTGCTGCACAATTAAAACGTAATCGTAGGTACGAGGGAATGCAAATATGCTTGAGGAAATGTGGGCAATGGGCATTCAAGTGGTAGATTCACCGACAGAAATAATAATCTTTGGCGTATTCATTTTATAAAATATATTCTTTTCTTTGTCCTCAAAACAAATTTTGAAAATATAATACATAAATATTGATTTATCTACTTCCTTTACATTTCATACTATCGTGTGTTTTATAAAGAGAATTATCCAAATTAGGAGACGAAAATGAGTAAATACCGGTTTGTTAGTTTACTTCATGTATGTGATACCTACAAGTCCTTAAGTATACAACTACCGTTCTAACAGCAACACACTGCGCTAAATTTAAAAATCCGGTACCGTTATATCCCTATCGCTACGCACAAGACGCCACTGAGGAAAATAACAGATTCAAATTGGCTGAGATCATTAGTCACTAGAATTGCTATAATCCATTCACTATTTACCTTCCTGCTTAAGAGAAGCAACTTGTTTTTGTTACTTTTGTACTATGCACATATATAATTTTGAACTTTGTTTATATGCCTACATATATTCTATTGTACCTACACGAACGAATGAAATAGTTTAAACGTTTCATATATCAATAATTAATATTTCAATAAACTACTTAGTGAATAAAAACAATAAAATATTTTGTTTTTCATCCGCCTCAAGAAGTAGAGCGAAGAGTCTATAGTACTTCTATAATAATACTTGCCGGCCGGCCGGAGCCCGCGCACCGATACCGGTCTCCGCTCACCCGCAGGCGAGCCGGTATCGTCGTCTTACACAATGCCTTTATCTTATTTCACTCTAACATATTATATGCAATATTTATCTGCAGACAGATAACTAGTTTAAAAAAAACTCGTCCAATCTGACCTTCAATATGTTTGCCTAAGTTTATGATAACTTCTTAAAATAAATATAAATGCCTACTTCTTTATAACATTAAAAATTGTTATCTCAACGACAAAACTTGATTTTTAATCTTAATTTTGAAAATGAAACTAGTAATGATGCGTATTTATTAGAATTTGTAACGTAAAAGTATTATTTGCTCAATGACACAACTGAACGAGGAAAGCAGAGTCCGACGCGCGCGCTACATCGCCCGCGCTTGCGTAGATTGTGACGTTACACGCGATATTAACATGACGTGTATTCTCGCTGCCACTATGATATCTATTATTCTTCTTAATACAAACATTTTTATCTATAATATGCCCTTAATTGGGTACCTCAAACTAACTAATGTATGTACTTCGTACGTCTCTATATTTAGTAGGTTTTTAAATTATAGTTCAATATTCTTTAATTTAAATTGGTGACACTATACAACCCACATTGTTTACAATATCTGTTAGGCTAGATGTGCTTCACCATTATTATTGTGTTTCCTAGGTATGTGTTTGCGTCATGGCTAGATAATTCGTCGCTCATCAAAACAAGTTCAAAGATAGCAAACAAAAACATTGCGCGTTCAATGAAAGGAAAATATGTTATACCAAGTGTTAAAAGTTGCTGCTATTATTGACAATGTATGAACAATTATTTCAGTGGCGTCATAGTAGGACATACCCACGCTGCATGCGGTAAACCCACCTGTAATTCTACTGGAAAGTACAAACAGCGGATGGAAGTCGACTTTATCTCGGTGTGACGCGGTATTACCCTATACAATGCGTAGCATTAAGCGTCATGTGTTATTTACTCTGATGAATCCGGCAAATCCGCTTGCACGCTACACAGAATCAGCTCAATCAGAAACGCGTTGGTGCTGACTCATAGCCGGCCGGCCGGCGCGGCGCGGCGTTCAAAAACAACCTCGCATTTTTACTGGCACTCCAATCAACACTAACACAGAAATTACGTAAGCCACAAAAAAAAACTCATAATACAGCGCAGTAGTATTAAACAACTCAACAATATCCGTTAATCAAGCTACTTATAGTACCTGCGATTTTAATAAATGGATACACACAAATGTTCAAGGTACAGAATCCTTGGACTTAAAAGCTTTCTATTTATATATCTCTTATAATAGTACTCAGAATAAATAACTGTTGAATAAATCAACTGCTTTAGTAGTATGTCAGGCCATAATATATAAAAATAAAGAGTGCTCAGTTCTGCCGAGAAATAAGGTCACCGGCAGGCCCGGAACCGACTAACGGCATTCGTTACAAAATCGCGTCAAGAATTATTTTCACGTGCGCGAGTCGACGAAGTGAGGACCGTTAGCTGCGATGGCTAACACAGCCTAACCTCACTGGCACCGCTCTTCGACTCATAAGCTGGAAAGTAGAACATCGAGACTGCGACAATATCCGTGACGATATTGGCATTTGTTTCCATTTCCACGGTGTTAAATTAAACATTGAATGAAATTCTTTTTAGAAGGGAATTATTCTCAGTGATTGGCTATTCGTTAAAGTTCTTATTATTATTGAGTGTTACGCAATAGACTAGTAATTTCTCGTAGAGCAGTAATCCGCACCTTTCGTTTAAGATCGTAAACAGAATGGCTCAATTCGTCGCGGCTACGACAGAGAATGCCACATGCTGCACCGAGTGTGAAA